GGGGGGGTGGGGTGGGTGTTGAAGTTAGGGCGCCGTTCATCTGTAGTCCAGGGTCTTCACTGCGGGTCGGTGACTGGAACGTGGAGCTAAGCCTCTGGCAGCACCGGCTGATGGTGGGGATGCAGCTGAGAGGAGACTGACGAGAAGGCTCTAGGTGTAGCTGCTGCGTCATAAAAATGTGCTGTCTGGAACCAGCAAAAACTTGCAAAAATATACTTTCTCTGCCCGAGTTCTCCCTAAACCGAAATTTCTCCTCTTGCTGATGTCACATGAGGACTTGGTGCCTGGAAGTTCAAGGAGTTGGGAGGTATTTGGGAAGCTCCCTGTTAAAGCCCGTGAGCAGGCAGGAGCTCCCTCAGGCCGTTTGCTTTGAAATTTTTTTCAACTAAAATCTCTTGCGACTCAGCAGACAGAATTACCTTACTACCAGCTTCTGTAGATACTGCCTTCTAAGTAAAGGGTGTAAGCGCTGTCTTATTGATTGCCTTAATTGACTTGTTAGGTTGTTGCTATTACCAAGATATAAAAGGCTGCGTAGCTGTGAGAAGTCTTTTAGATTGCTAGGTACCAATCTGTGAGTTAGAGAAATAAAGATAAGAAAGTCATTGAAAAACTTAGGTGATGCATTAAATACCTCTTCTGTTTTCAAGGCAGGTTTTGCACAAAGGACAAAAATAACAAACATTTCTTGTGAAGCTTACAGATGTCAATAATTCTCTAATTTCAGCCCATACAAATGGAGAACCCCTACAAAGATCCTCCTAAAAGATGTATTTTATGTGGAATAAATGTAGACTACAAGAATGTGCAGGTGAGTTTGAAAATTCCTGTTTAGATGAAGGTAACTGGTTTAATATTAAATTTGTGTGTAGGAAGCCCACAAGAATAAAAATGAAAAAATCACTCCTCTATGTAGGGCTTTAAAACTTAAGAGTTTAAGAATGTGTGCAGGTAAGAGTCAAATAATGTAGTTGTGATAAGCTGTTCAGTTTACTAGTCCTACATGCAGGTGTTACAACTTCATTTGTAAAGAGAGTCCTCAACTCTAATTCTGCTGTCATATAGCTTAAATGTTATGGCATATAAAATACTGTCTTAATTCCAAGCTGTACTTTTTCTTGTTTCCAGGTAGAACTGGGTTTTGTAAAAACAGATCAAAAATTAAAAATACAATGCAAGTAGTAAAATAAACCAAAACTCTTTAAAAATACTTCTTAAACTGACTTTGGATTTCTTAATTTTAAATAGCTTCTTTCCCAGTTCGTTTCTCCGCATACTGGCTGCATTTACGGCAGGCATATAACAGGTATGTGAAGCATAAAATTGAATCATTTGCTGGTTATGTTTTTGTGAGTCGAAGTAATGGTATATTGGCTATCTTTCCAAAAATAATTACTGCCAACTCTACTTTGTAGCGGTATTCCTCTGACTTAGCAGCCTTCATCAAGGAATGAAAAAATCCCTTAATTATATGGGGTTTTGTATTTAACAGTATAAGCACACATGCATTTTTCTAGGAAGATTTAGAGGGAATTGTCAGTAATACTGCTTTCACCCTTTAAAGTAATGGTTTGGTTGTTGATTTAAGAGACTGAAAATTACTTCTGTCTTTAGGCTTGTGTGACAAGAAGCAGAAGGAAATTACAAAAGCCATTAAAAGAGCTCATGTACTTGGTGAGTATGATCGTGCTTTTGAGTTTTGTCAGTCAAGCCTACTTTCCTATTAAAAAAGCCCCTCCATCTTATCTTTTTACAGGATTCATGCCAGTTATGTTTAAGAACCCATCATTTCTCACAGATCCCAAGATATGCAATGTCAAGTATCCAGAGTAATATACTATAAAGAAATAAACAACAAAACTACTTTTCATGTTTATATGCTTGTTTACTGGAAACATAATGCATCACTGACTGAAGGGTGGATGTCAGTTGCTTTTTCTTATGAAGTGTGAAGTCTCCAAAATTGTCTGAAGGAAGCATGAATGATGAAGGCAGTAGTAGAAATTGGCAACTATATGGACAGCTTCCTCTGCTCTCAGGTCTTTGCTGAAGTTCAGGTGGCTGTTCTTCCCTTGCTGGATTGGAAGGGGGAAGAAATAAGCAGGTAGGGGATAGCTAAGGATAAAGTATATAAATCGTGGGAATTTATGTAGACAGATAAGTCTGTTAAGCATGTTGCCTGTGTTCATTTGGTGCTCCCTGCCTCAGCTGCTGCTGAGGGAAGGGCGGTACGGCTTCTTCCACAGCAGCCCGAAGCAGTATTACTCTGAGGCAGTATGCGACATGGCTATATAACGGCTAACATCCTGCTAGCGTAGTCTTTAAACCCTGAGTGAATACAGATTTAACTCTGGAAGGAGAAATGAAGGAATGTAACCTGGAGTTGTCCCTATTCCAAACAGGATTCAGGCATTGGGGGGAAAAAAACCCCAAAACCTGCATGTCTTGCAAAAATGCACTGTTTTTATCCCTGCAGTGCTATAAATTGGTATGTCACTTGAATATACTGGCAGTAGCTTTTGGTGCAAAGTCATCTGGAGAAATCATTAACAGATCAGAAAGTAGGAGAGTGTGGGTATTCATTTGCGTCTCTAATCTTTTCCAACACGTCCTCATCTGTTTCAGTGCTACTGAGTGTAAGCTTCCTTTCCTGGTCACTGTCATCTTGGTCTCGAAGTAATTTTTGGTGAAGCTGCAGTGATCTGGATTTCTTGAATGACTTGGATCCTGTTGTGGTCCCTCTGACTTTACGCTTGGTTAGGTGTCTTGTTTCAGCTTCAGTGAAGTCTCTCTCCTCTACCATGAGAGTCAGTTTGTCCATGACATTAATATTATGGTCAATGTTGCAGCAGTTCTTGGATATGTGTCGGCCTTTGAAGGAAACAATACATGTCTGAAGTCCAGAATTGGGGAAAAATGTTTGTAGTGCCTGACAAAGGAGAACATTCTCCTTTGGCTCTCCTGGGTAATCTGTGTCTTTTCCTGGGGGGGAAAAATAAGAGCTAGAGTTGCAGTCTCTCTTGCACGCCACTGTTCTGGCTGCCTCAAATTCAGAAGTGTTTTGTGCTTCTGCCACTTGCGTCAACTTTGGAAGTCTTACTAAGACTGGCATTGCACTTATTTAACTTACCCGAATAACTCTGTTCCTTTTTCCTCTTTATTTCTTCTTTTAATTGGCTCACCTCTGCTAAGAGTTTCTCTACAGATCGTTCACTGGCTTCTACTGTAGAGCATATTTTCTACAAGGAAAAGAGCATTTGATGGAATTAACAGTAGTCACAGAAGCTGACTTTAACCTCGTTGCAAAATCCTTAAAGGTACTCATGATATTAAAAGTTGGACACAAAGTACTGAAAGGCTTAAACAATGAGCTTGAGCTGGATTTTAGAGATGAGAACTTAAACCTTGTGTTGAATGAGTTGCAAGATGCTTTACTTGTTCCCATCTAAGCAAAAGAGCTCTGGCAAACTTAAAGATAGTGCTCCTTCAAAATAATCCTTTTGTGAGAATTTATCAGTGGACTTGAAGATGTATCAGTGTACTTTTGATGAAATGGAAACTTAAATCTTCAACTTTGAGAACTTAGTGTACAGCTACTAACAGTAAATGGAACTCCCTGATTTTTCAATATGTGCTTCCAAGAGACAGCGTTGTTTCTCATTTAGTGCAAGATGGTGTACCCTTTGCTTGACTTGGTTTTGTAGTACTGCCAAAAGCAGGTATGCTGGACTTACCTTCAGCTCCTCCTGCAAGGTGGCATACATCTCGTTTATCTTATGAACCTCTTGTAAGGATCCATCTTCATAAAAGAATTCTGTCCTGTGGACCAAGAGTACAATTGTATAATTGCAAGTTAATTATCCCAGTGCTTACTTAGTAGGAGTGATAATGAATAAAGAAGCATTTTGAGCTTCAATGCTAGGTGCCTATGATGAGACAGACAGCTGCTCTCATGGCAAAGTATGGGACTTAACTCATTTCCAAGTCCTTGGAAAGGTAAATAATTGCAGGAAACAGGTCAACAAGTGAGCAGGGTATGGCTGTAGCATTTGCAAAAGCACTTTAAAAATACTTTTATAGAAACTTAACTATACTTAATCTTAACTGAAAGCTACAGCTATGAGTAAATACGGCATATATTGTACCTGTGGTGTCTTACTGCTCTCACAAAACCAGAAGATACACAGGAACCAGACACTGTTCTGTAACCTTGCTGTTCTGCCATACCCAAGTTGGTAACCACCAAAGGAACTTTCTGGAAGAGACTTAAAAAGCAGAAGTATAACATCATTTATTAACATCCAAAGGCCTCTCTTTGATAGTTACAGGTTCTTGACCATTAAGCATCCCAGATGGAGGTTTACGGTATAGTTAGTTTTTGCTAAATGTATTGCATCACACACAGATGACTACTTATGGCTAAAGGCAAACTGCAAGAGCAACGAGATCGAGCAATGCCTCTAGCTTTTTTCCTCTGTTTCTGGGTACAAGTCGCACAATAATGCAATACTTGCTTGTTAAGCCTAGCCTATGGGTGGCATGTCCCTGAAGATAACTGAAAATTGCCACCAATTTAAATATTTCAGTGATATGTGAAGATGAACACCATGCATTGTTGAAGTCCTATACCCAAAACCAAACGGATCAAGAATAGCTTATGTGCATAAATGAACTGCCTGCCTGCCTGTGGGCACTGGCACTACAGATAGTTCCAAAGGCAGAACTCCAGGGTAAGATTTCAACTGGGCTCTAGCAATATGAGGAATAATCTTACTTAATCTGCAAGTTTCAAGGGTAAAACAGTGTTAACAGTAACTCGATTGCAACAAAGAAAAAACCCAAACTGTTCCGAGTTACAGTATGTGCTGTGCTACTGCTTTATTAAAACTAGAGAACAAACCAATTACCCTTCTTGTGGCCGATGTAAGGCATGTTCCAGTCTGTAAGTAGAACAACTTTCTGTCATCACGCTAGAGGTTAACAAAAGGAATACAAGGCCCTGATTTGATAGGTGTGACTGCAAATTCTTATGAAGAAGTCTTTCCCGGAATGTCATGGTCTGGTCTGTGTTACGTCTGAATTTGTACCATCCTATTACACTCTGCAAGCAGAAGAAAATTGATTATTACTGTTGAACCACACTGTCCCTGTGTCATATTGAGGGAAACTAGAGGATTCAGTACAAAGTCGGGGATCTGAATTGTTCAGTGATGTGTATGTATTCAAGCTGTTAGTTAACTTGAAACCCTTAAAACATCTGGGCCCAATTCCAGTATGACAACTTTTCTCTGTCCTTCAAAACCATGTGTTGAACTGGCCTGTGTTCTGAGCTTGTGCTCAGGCTGAAACTTGGCAAACTTGATGCTGCTATTTTGCTGCTTGTCTCTTTCCAGCTTCTTTCCTCTTGTGAAACTTTCTTCTGTGGAGAACACTAAATTTTTTTTGGTCAGGTGGTGCTTAACCACTTCAGTGAGCTCACCTCAACTGATCTTAAGCTAGAAATCAACAGAATTCCTTTGAGATACTTGAACTGTTTGCTTGAGAAATGAGTAAGAAAAAATAAAGTTGTGACATATGTAGGCAAGCCTTAATCAAAAATAACCTGAACTGTTCTTTCAGGGGGACATGATGCAGCTGCCTTGATCAGCAGCATAAGGGACTAGATGCAAGATTTTAAAAAAAAAGGGGGGGGGGGGTGGGGAAAAAACACCTTGATACAAGAGGTATCCAGAACAGCCTGCCAAATCTGAGCAAACTCCTTGCTATGGTTTAGTTCTGAAAATAAAATACCTTCTTACAGCCTGATAGTATTTTCTTCAGGGCAAGTTCATCCAGTTCTCCTGCAGAATTATAAAAGCTAGAAGAAAATTAGGACAATTAGAGGGGGGTGGGGGTGGAAACTACTGTAGAAATAATTATTCCCTAGCAGTCTGGCAATCTTCTCACTTTAATAGCTATTTTTGCCCCGGTAAGCATAAAGATATGCTGACACAGCTTTTCTGCTAGGACAGTGCAGTTCATTTCATTACTCAGATAGCTATGTAGGTGGTCTTGTACAGCCCAGATGCTGTTCTGGCATCAGTGCTAGTGGCACACAAGTTAAAGGTAGCATCTGTATTCTCTCAACTACAAAACAGTAAGAAGCCTTCAATTTGATATGAAATGTCTTTCCAATAACATCTGGGTCTACTAATTTTTAGAAAGACTTGAGAAGGAAACAGTGTTGTGACTCTCCCCTTATTGGGGTGCAAACCTGCACAGCTGTATTCACCTCTACCATGGAATTCAATATACTAGTCCTTGAAACTACTGCCATGGGGCTAACAGGTGTTTCTTGTTCTGAGCCACTTAGAAGCCTATGGCTGATGCTACTTTTTTTTTTGAGGGTGAGGGGTTGGGATGTATGCTTTTAGAAAAGCAATGGGGTTTTTTTCAGTATGTTGGCATTATTGTGTAGTTCATATGGTATCACAGATCACCAGAAGGTGCAGTATGCCGTATCTCTATTTCTGTATGCATACACAAACACAGAAAAAGGACACAAAGAACCAAAATAGGAAAAAACATATGGTATTTTGCATCTGTAATTACAAGGGGTTGATATGGCTACTGTAGTTACAGCTGGGCAATTTTCTCAGTAATGTAATAAAAGTTTAACTCTTTGAAGAGTTAAACTTAGGGTTAATTTTAACTTTTTCACATCTGTTTACTTAAGATTCTTACCTGAACAACTGGTAGCATGGAATATGCTTCTGTATATCTGGAAAGAGAAGGTAGGGTTCATCAGTTCAAGATGTATATTCTTCTGTATGCTATTATCAGAATTAAATTGGTAGAAGAGCCAAGAAAGAATTCTACATAATATAACTTCTTAAAATCAAGTGCATTAACATCTCATTAAATAAGGTTAAGAGGAAATAATTTTAAAAAATATTCTAAGTAATTTTTCAAATGTAAAGGGAACTACTTATATAAACTACTTTTATTATACTTTTTTGTCAAGTGAAAAATCAGATCAGTACTTTATTTTTCCCTCCCTTCTGTTGAGTACAGTGGTATGTAATAGGACAGATTTCACTTGAGTTACTCTGCAGCAAGGCATGGATGCCATTAGTAAGAAAAATGAGGCTGCAGATCAGAAAGCCATAGGGTAGATGATGAGAACTGGAAGACTGACTACCAGGGAAAAAAACCCAACAGTAGGTGGTTGAATAGTATTCTAAATCCTTTTCTTAAATTCTCCACTAATTTAATTTTCACAAGTTAACTAACAAAACAAAAACAAACAAAAAAAAACCCCCAAACAATGAACTTTGGAGTAACTAGCTCTGCCTATGAGAATGTGATGATGAGACTCTGGATAACCTGATCGATGCCACCACAAAAAAAATTCCCAGATATTTTTGTTTCAGCTGGGAGACCCAGTGGAAGGAAGTGTTACACCTTAATTGTATCCTGGAGCAAAACTAGGAACTGGGATGCAATTTCTCCCTACTGTATTTCCAGGAAGATTGGAAAGAAGACGCATACGGTATTAACTTTCCTCTTTGTTTTTGTATAACTGCACTTCATGGGATTGGAGTGGATGTGCGTGTATACATAGGTTTTTGTTGAGGGCTAGTAGAAGACGCACATCCACTCCAATCCCATGAAGACTGTAAGGAAAAATACATCTGGCGTCTGCTCAAGGAAACGCATACTTTGCAGCCTTCACAGACAGTATTTTATGAGTTCCAAATTAGGCAATGGATGCTAACACATTACAGTTCATATCGCTGAAACAGGCCAAGTTTTTCCAGGGCAAGTGTAGCCCAGGAGTGTGTGTGATGTGGCCAAGATAAAGGAGTCTAAGCCCTAAATTACCTTTAATGTGACAAGGTACTTGGCAAAGAGGAGCTATTCAAGGAACTATAAGAACTAGTATTTCTGTTAAATTATTGTATTTCTACAGTAAAATTGTAGAGGATTTTTTTAGCAATTAAAATGTTATGAAAGAACTCTTCCATGTGTTTTGGGTTTTTTTTTTGGTTTTTCTTTTTTTTTTTTTTACATCAACACAGACCCCAGGATGTAGCAGCTTCCATCTTGCTGTAAGGTGTGACCGCCCTTATTCAAAACTGTAAGCAGTCGTATATTGCCTGAAACCAAGCACGGTATTAAAAATGTGGACAGACTAACCGATTGTATAAACAACTTCAACATCATCCATTTGTGAGTCAGTAATGCTGTTCTTGGCTTCACCTTTCACATCTCCAAGGAGAAAACCTTCCTTTATAGGGGAAGAGGGAAAAAAAAAAAAGTTCACATTAACTGTAGCATTGAACAGGACTTTTGCCTAATATTAACAGGATAAATGCTGTCCTCAGAAGAGGAAAAAAAGCTGTCAGAATGAACTGTAGGTTTTTTGTTTGGTTGGTTTTTTTTAAACAGAGTAGGTTCTCGCTCATTTCTCGCTACCCAAGCTGGAATGCGTGCTCATTTGTTTTCCCTTCCTCATGTTTTCATTCACAAGCGAACAGCCTGTGGCTGTAGAGGTGATGCCCGCCTCCAAGGCTCAGGCCAGGAGGCCTGACCAGCATTTCGGTCAGCCCCCGGCAGACCCGGTGCTGCCGCTGCCGCCCCCACCGGGCGTCCGGG